AGAAGGCTAAGAGGACGGAATGTGTTTTTTTTTTTATTTTAAAATATAAAGTGAATTTAAAAAAAAATTGACTTTTTCCCAGTAAAAGTGTTTGATTTATTCTCTGACTGTTGATGTGTTTAATCATAATTTTTTAAGTATTTAAAAAAGTTGCAGTGCAAAGATTCTCGTGCTCTCGTTATTTTTATTACAGCGATCTTGATACTGTTAGTCAGGTTTCAGATTGGTACTTTTGTTGCCTTTACAGAGTAAAGAGCGGTGGTTTTTCAGTCTTGGAAAATGTTTACTTCTGAACAGTCAAATTCAGATCAGCAAAACTCCTTCCATATTCGTTTTCTGTGTGAAACAAAGATACTTTGAAGTAAAATGAAAGACAAAAGATATACCATATCTGGATAAAACTATAAAAAACAGGATTTTGTGCAGTATATTTTGCTTGGTATTTCCCATATCCAGAACTGTTATGCAGTATCCAAATAAATCAAATTGAGTTTCATTATTTTTTTAAAAAATACTTTTTTTGTGAAAATTAGAACAGTTTATAGATTCCGGATCAATCGTCAAACGGATCCGAAGCGGCAATTTTCCATCGATCAAAGCGGTTCACTTCGTGTTGCTCAGCAACTGGATCGCGAAGAAATCCCGAAATATAATCTCATTATTGAAGCTTTCGATTCAGGTTCCCTTCGATAAATTTATTAAAATAAATATGTGATGCATGCTAGAGCTGTGGGGGCCACAGGTAGTTGCTGTTGATAAATGTGCTATCGTTCGAGATTCTTGGAGTGAACATTCCACAGCTTGCATAGCTTTTTTCGCATCCGGATTGTAAAAATGGGCGAAATTTGGATCTCTTTGGCATCAAGATAATTCGCTCAGAGCTTTTAAAGAAAATTAATTCAGAATTGACTTCCTTCTAAACAAGCTTTCTCGCGAGTTTATGAGTTGTTTATTTTTTCATAAATTTGTTTTTAGCTGGTAATGTTGGATTTCAAACGATTGAGATTTATTTGCAAGATGTGAATGACAATGCACCGGTCCCCTATACAGTTCCAAATCCCTGTGTTTTTATGGAAAATAGAGAACCATCAATGCAACCAAAATGCGAAATTCGAGCTTATGATCCAGATACCATGTATGTTCCTGGAATTCACTTTTTTCTTCAAATTTCAATATATTGGCAAAAATTTATGATACAGTTTTACTAGACGAGGTAAATTCTGCTCTTACTGCTTATTAAAACTTGTGCATAGAAGAAACATGCACAGATACATACATACCAAGAACCAAGACCGTTCCTGCGTCGGTACCGCGTGTCAGTAATATTACTGAGATGCATCCACACACCGGTCGCAACCATCCCAAACTCTTTGATCCTGGGTCTTATATCTCCAGTTCATAGCTGTTTGATTTATACGCGCAACCTCTTCGGAGGCGAACGAGTCGTTTTTTTTTTCTTGCGAGTACCACTTTCTCATACGCAATGTTAGTGAGTAGTGCACGTGAGCAAAAACAAAGCGCAGACGTACATACTTACATACATATTTACAAACACATATGCTATCACACACACATATATAGGATAAGCTCTTCCAAAGATACCAAAATTTTTTGGGAGTTGAAGTGTGGGAAATTTTGAGTTTCTGCAAAAAAATTGTTTTAAATTTTATGTTTTTATGCGAAAAACTGTACAAAATTAGGCCACTACAAATCTAATGTGTTAATTTTTTATATTTTTCATTTCACTTTAAAGTCCATTTCTTCGGAAGTCTGCCAAAGTTCCAATGATTGTAGTAAGAAGTTTCTCATGGCTTGCTACGTTGAGATTCAATAAAGGTTGAAAGGAATTAATCCAGATCTATCTCGTGTATTTCAGCGAGCATGGCCCACCATTCTCGATGAAACTGGCACCGGATTTCAAATATGGCGCTTATTTGAATGTTGTTTTCAACAAAAGTAAGTTACTCTCCGACTTCTACTCTTTTACTTTTTAACTGATAATGATATAAGGATCCCCTCACGCATACCGTGCTTTTTTCTCGATTTACCATTCTGGTGAACCTGGGGAAAAGAAGGATAGATTGTGCTAGCTTAGCACTGCTGATAATTTGATTGCGTATAGTATGAGTATATGAGTGTAGGTGTGAGCTTGTGTATGTATATGTGTACGTGTGTGTGTGTGCGTATGTGTGTATATGCATATTTGCGTGTTTAAGTATGTATGCGTGTATGTCCGTGTGTGAGTGTATTTGGTGTGTGGTAAACGTGTATGCGGTATGCGTGTGTGCGGTGCATGTTTGTTCCTTTACGTGTACATCTATGTACGTGCCTATTTAGGTAGTTTGCGTTTATGTGTGTCTTTGTGTCTGTGCGTGTTTTTACAGCCTTCTGTTAGCATGAAATTGAAATCGGTTAGAATTGGGTTGACCGTACCGCTAATGGAGTCGGATGGTCGATCTTTAACATGCAAGCGGCGCTCGTCAGATATTTTGCTGAATGCTACCCAAATAAAAAGGCAAGGAAGCAGGTGTTCCTCTTTTCAGGAGGGTACAAAGCAAATTTCTATTTTCGTCCAACAGCTGACCATTATGTGCATATTTTCGTTCATTATATTTATTTTACTTCTAAGCTGACTAGTATTTTTTTCATTTTCCTTTCCAGTATGCTTTGAATATGTCTTAAAATCATTTGAGACCACAACCGTCATACTGACGAAGTCCAGGACTTCATGATCGAAACACTCCTATTTAGCTGATTGATTTTTCTTCAACATTACCGGAAAATAATTACATGCTGTTCCCATTTATTTTCTCCCATATTATGTCTTCAGGAAGTTGAAAATTGACTTCTCCTTCCTCCCTCCTTTCTTCTTTCCTGAAATTTTCCTCCTGTGCTGCTCCATTTCCATAGAAAAATCAAAATTACGTTAATTAAATTTAAGTGCCATTTCAGTTCTCTTTCATTTTCCGTTCTTCTAGATGGTGACAATGGCAACGGTTCAATGATTGTAACAGCCAAGCAACGTTTCGATCGTGAAGCTGAATTTCCCGGCAAGCAACTGGAAATTCCATTAATCCTGAAAGATTGCTGTGGTTTGCAGTCCGAGCGCTCCGTTTATGTAATCATCGGTGATGAGGTATCGTCTGAGAGCTAACTTATGCCTTTCTTACTGGCTTCGCAAGAGCCTAGGAAGAGCTGGAAGACACAAATGACAATTTTGGAAGATAAATGTTCTCTGTGTAGATACATCTTGCATCATCTCATCTGTTTGGGATCATTCTGTGAACTCTGGCCCCTCGTAAAACGTAGAGCCTGGTGAGGGAGGGAGTGAAGGGCAGGAAGTATCTGTAAGCAAATCCTGGTACCAATAAAAAAGATACAATCCTGGCGATCCGTCTTATGCTCCCATTCATCACTGTTCAAAAGGCGGCTCCTTTCTTCTCGCGGATTTTTCGCCATAAAAGGAGGAGGGAAAGTGGGAGTGAAGGAGTGGAGGACAAAAGAAGGGGAAGGCGGATTTTGTCTTTTTTGTAGCACACAGAATGCACAAATCCGTGGATATGTTTTCGGGT